TGCAAAGGTTTCTCTCTTTTTCCTTCTTTTCTGGACGAAACCCTCGTGTTGCGTCTGCTCTTGGAAGCAAACAGGTAGCGTTTAGCCAGCTAGGGTTGTCTTTCATTTGTGTGATGAAGGAAACCGGAGCGAAAATGCCATCCTCAGGTTGATGGAGATTGCTGGCATCCAAGCCGTTGCCTTAATGGAAGCATCCAAGCAGTGCTGCATTGAGGGAAAGGGTGGGCAACGATGTGCTTTGCTTGATGTGCTTTGCTTCCCTGCATCTCTCTCTCTCTCGTCGTTCTGCAAAGGAGAATTTGCAGTTCTGCCAAGAACAGGCCTTGCAAACTCTTAAGCCTTTTAAAGAGACGAATCCCTGTTGCGTTGAGTCAGTTCGCAACAAGGCAGTCGGATAAAATGGCTGTAGAGTCATCATATAAATGTGTGTGAGTGTGTATTCATTGTATAAATGGCTAATAATAATAATAATAATAGTGCAGTTTTCTGGCATTGTATATTTCTGCCGCTTCTGTGATTGTGTCAGTAAAATTAATAATAATAATAACAATAACAACAATAATAATAATTTCTTGGGAGAAAGGTGGAACATATATGTTCAGCAAACAAATATATTAAAATATATATTATAAAATATATTTAAATGTATGTATATAAAATATATAAAATATATTTAAAAAAATCCAAACAGAGGCCATTCAAAGCCACCGCACAAAGGGCAAAATTCAGTCTAAACACTCAATAGAAAACAATGTGCAAGCATAATCAATAAAACTATAAGTTAATCAATATTAAAACAGTAAAGCACAATGGTGAAAGGTTCTTATGCTCTGCCATATAACCTAATATAACAACTACTTTCAAAGTAAGAACTGCACAATTGAACAGGAAATAAGACTTTCAAACCAGGAGCAGCTTCAACTTTTCATACAATCAATCATCTTATTGGACATTGATCACGATGATCGGTCCTAATCGGTTCCTCTTTGGAGGGGCTTCATGCACTGCGATGGCTCAATGCCATTTTGCAAGGTCTGAAATGTTGCAGCATGATAGGAGAGATAATATCAAGAGAGTTCCTTTCTGGAGAAAGAAAAGCACGGCTTTATTCCCAGCTGGGACCCTGGAGTGGAGCTGTGTCCAAAAGCAACCAGAGTGCCTGATAAAGGTGTTGACTGTGCCTTTTATACCCTCCAAATGCAGGCAAACAAAGAAACATGCTTCTCCATATGAAACGTCATCACTGCGTCACTTTAGCATCATAGAAATATCAAATTCTATCTTCCAAAGAGCAGCATACAGCTTACATTCATCAATCAAGGGGCCTACTTTGACCTGTCAGGAGGGAGTGGGGATAGGCTCCTTACTTAGCTATAGCCTGGGCTATGTTGTACCAGTCTCTGTATAATAATATCCAGTCCAACCCCTTTCTGTGTCAGAACCAATTAGGAATTACATTTATCATAGTGTCACATAGTATTGTAATAGAATCCTAAAGCTGGAAGGGACCTCCAAAGGCCATCTAGACCAACCCCTTGTTTCTGCCAGGCAGGAAAAGCGTTCGTTTGGAAACAAATATGCTCAATAGTTGAAGCAGAGGTGGAGGATGCAGATCGTTTCAAGGGTTTGAAAGGGCTTCCCACCCACCGTCTTAATAGCCCTTGCTTTTCTATTTAAGTTATTTATTTCTGCTTTAAAAGGATTTCCAATCACCGGCTCCTTGGTAGAGCTATGCTCATAAATGATGGAGAGGGTGAGATGGCAGAATTTCTGCACAACATTGTCTTGGAAGTCTAAAGTGCAGCCGCATTCGGAATATTACTGCGGAGTTGCGCTCCCTGGAAAGAAGGTTGCAAACTTTGGGGTGGACTGGATGGCCTTTGGGGTCCTTTCCAAGTCTCTGATTCTATTATTATTATTATTATTATTATTATTATTATTATTATTATTAAGCAGTGGCTGGATGGCCTTCTGTCTGGATGACCTTTGGGAATCCCTTCCTGTTCTAAGATTCTATTATTAGTATTCCTTGTAGTAGTGAAGGAGGCTTCAAGGGTCTCTGAGTGAAATTAAGGGGCTTTGAATGAACTTAACAGCAAAAGAGAGACATACCCTTTCTCTATAGAAAAATAGCAATATGGGAGAAGAAAATGTTTTTAAGAAACAAGATGTGACATGTAGAAGGTACTTCCTTACACAGGATGCATTGTGGTTAACTTCAAAGGTTGTGGTAAAGTGCAGAGTATGCATGTACCAGAAGGTACTTTCCATCAAAAGGTCAAGGGGGAGGGGCTGGAAAGAGAGTACTTTCCATGAAAAGAAAATGTTCTCTTTTGTTAAAGGGTTAAAATTGTTGATGTCAGGCAGTGGTACTTTCCCTTTTTTTGTTTACACTGGGCTATAAAGTTTGCAGATTTCAAGGGAAGAGCATAGCAGTCACTTGAAGGGTAACATCTGCGCATGTTGCCTGGCTGTCCATCTTCTTCATGAAGAAATTAAAAATAAAACCTTGTTTTTTTATCTTTCATTGGGACTGTCTCCTTCCTTTCGTGCTCCCGTGACGTGGACCTAAGAAGACCCGATTTAGGGTCTCTAACAGTAGTAGTAGTAGTAGTAGTAAGTGGAGGCTGGGTGACCATCTGTTGGGAGGGCTTGGGTTGTGCTTTTTCTTCCTGGAAGAAAGAAGTAGGGTGGACTGGGTCACCTTTGGGGTCCCTTCCAAGTCTCTGATTCTATTATTATTATTATTATTATTATTATTATTATTATTATTATTATGCTGTGGCTGGATGGCCTTCTGTATGGGTGACCTTTGGGGTGCCTTCCTGCTCTAAGATTCTATTATTACTATTATTATTATTATTATTATTAAGAAGAAGAAGAAGAAGAAGAAGCTGTGTGGCCATCTGTTGGGAGGGCTTGGATTGTGCTTTTTCTTCCTGGAAGAAAGAAGTAGGGTGGACTGGGTTGCCTTTAGGGTCCCTTCCAAGTCTATGATTCCATTATTATTATTATTATTATTATTATTATTATTATTATTATTATTAAGCAGTGGCTGGATGGCCCTCTGTCTGGATGACCTTTGGGGGTCCCTTCCTGCTCTAAGATTCTATTATTACTATTAGTAGTAGTAGTAGTAGTAAGTGGAGGCTGGGTGACCATCTGTTGGGCGGGCTTGGGTTGTGCTTTTTCTTCCTGGAAGAAAAAAGAGGGGTGGGCTGGATAGCCTTTGGGGTTCCTTCCAAGTCTATGATTCTTCCTTTTCTTCTTCCTCTTCTTCTTCTTCTTCTTCTTCTTCTTCTTCTTCTTCTATTATTATTATTATTATTATTATTATGGCCATTTTTCAGGAAGGATCGGACAGCGTCTTCCTTATGACAGAAGGGGATTGAACTGGATGGCTCTTGGGATCTAATCCATTATTCTGTTATTGTTGTTGTTTTGTTGTTGTTGTTGTTGTTGTTGTTCTTCTTCTTCTTCTTAGGCTTAATGGCCAACTGTTGTGAGGCTTGTATGGTGTCTTCATTTATGGCAGAAAGGGGTTGAATTGGATGGCATTTGGGTTCTCTTCTAAGTCTATGATTCTTCTATTATTATTATTATTATTATTATTATTAATAATAATAATAATAATAATTAATTGATTAAGCAGAGACTTGATTGCCATCTGTTGAGAGGGCTTGGATTGTGCTTTTCCTACATGGTAGAAGGGAGTGGACTGGATGACCTTTGGGGTGTCTTCCAAGTCTATGCTATTATTATTATTATTATTATTATTATTATTATTATTAAGCAGAGGCTTGATAGTCATCTGCCGGGAGGGTCAGATGGTGTCTTCCTTTATGGCAGAAAGAAGTTGGACTGGATGGCCCTTGGGATCTGTTCCAAGTCTATAATTCTTCTATTATTTTTTTTATTGTTATGCTGGATGGCCATCTACTGGGAGGGTTCGTACAGTGTCGTCCCTTATGACAGAAGGGGGCTGGACTGAATGACCTTTGGGGATCCCTTCCAACTTTAGAATCTTGTTGTTGTTGTTGTTATTATTAGGCTTGACAGTCATCTGTCAGGAGGGTTCAGATGGTATATTTCTTTAGGCAGAAGGGGGTTGGACTGGATGGCCTTTCGGGACCCCATCCAACTCTAGAATCCTGTTGTTGTTGTTGTTAGGCTTGATGGTCATCTACCGGGAGGGTTCAGATGGTATCTTTCTTTATGTCAGAAGGGGGTTGGACTGGATGGCCTTTGGGGACCCCTTCCAACTCTAGAATCCTGTTATTGTTATTATTAGGCTTGATGGTCATCTGTCAGGAGGGTTCAGATGATATCTTCCTTTACAGCAGAAGGGGGTTGGACTGGATGGTCTTTAGGGACCCCTTCCAACTCTAGGATCCTGTTGTTATTATTAGGCTTGATGGTCATCTGTCAGGAGGGTTCAGATTATATCTTCCTTTACAGCAGAAGGGGATTGGACTGGATGTCCTTTGGGGGACCCTTCCAACTCTAGGATTCTGTTGTTGTTGTTGTTGTTAGGCTTGATGGTCATCTGTCGGGAGGGTTCAGATGGTATATTTCTTTATGGCAGAAGGGGGTTGGACTGGATGGCCTTTAGGGACCCCTTCCAACTCTAGTATCCTGTTGTTGTTGTTGTTGTTGTTAGGCTTGATGGTCATCTGTCAGGAGGGTTCAGATGGTATCTTTCTTTATGGTAGAGGGGGGTTGGACTGGATGGCCTTTGGGGACCCCTTCTGTGATTCTATGACCTCATGGGTCAGCTCTGCTCTTAGAAGTCCAGGACTGGGCTGTGATGCTGGGGTCCCTGAGTGGACTTTGCAGGGGAGGTAGAAAGTGGATGGGTGGTGGATGGACAGATGGACAGACAGATCTCTATGTCTGGTGGTCCCAATGTTGGAGAGAGCAGCTTGGTCTCCTTCCCCTGAGAAGCCCTTCCTCCAGGACTGATTCGGCTGTGTTTGTGTCTCTTTTCCCTTTCCCAACAGGAGCATGACATCGAGACCCCCTACGGGCTGCTCCACGTGGTCATCCGAGGGTCTCCCAAGGGGAACCGTCCGGCTCTCCTGACCTACCATGATGTGGGGCTCAACCGTAAGTGGGGATCCAAGTGTATTCAACACTTTGTCTTTGTGGGAGGGACATGGTGTTTTTGAATGAATATCTCATTGTATCTCAGCCAACTCAACCTCATTTGTGGCTGCCACAAAAGAACATATAGATTTTATCAGTCAGTCATAAATTATACATTTTAGCCACCAAGTATACAATTTACCTCTCAGTCATAAAGTATAAATTTCAGCCATTACTTGCAAATGATTTATACAGAGCTTCCCGTGGATTCCCTTCTCTCTGTCTCTTCCAGACAAGCTTTGCTTCAACACCTTCTTCAACTTCGAGGACATGCAGGAGATCACCAAGCACTTTGTGGTCTGCCACGTGGACGCCCCAGGGCAGCAGGCGGGGGCCTCCCAGTTCCCCCAGGGGTAAGTGACTCCCAGTTAGGGCCTTACTGGGAAGGTGAGGCCTACAAAACCGGACTCGTTTATCATTTCAGTGTGGCACTTGTTCACCCAGCAAGGTGTCATGTTCAAGTAAACGTGTTGTAAAAAATCTCCTTGGCTTCCAGAGTTTGATTGGGATAATAATAATAATAATAATAATAATAATAATAATAATAATAATAATAAGGCTGACTGCGTACTTTTATGTTATGTTTCTCTTTTTTCTGTTCTTGTTTTGTCCTCCCAGGTACCAGTATCCTTCCATGGACCAGTTAGCGGCCATGCTTCCCAGTGTGGTCCAGCACTTTGGGTGAGTCTTGGGCTGTTGTTGTTGTTGTTGTTGTTGTTGTTGGGAGGAGCAGGGATACCAGAGAGTAAGAAATATCCTGGTAATGAAACACCCAGTGCCTCCCCAAAACTGAACTAGAAAACTACAGTCTGGTCTGAGGCCAATGGAGAAATAACTGTCGATGGGCGCTGAAAATCTTTCAGAGGTCAATGAATGGAGTGCCTGCCTAATCGGATATCAGGATATGGGATTCAGCAAAGACTGGTCAAGAAGTGTGGGGAGGGGGGCAAAGGAGGAGGTGCTGACAGTTGGTCTTTCTTTCTCTTTCTTTCTTCTCCCTCCCCTTCCCCTTCCTGTCCCTTCCCTTCCCTTTTCTCTTTCCCCTCCCTCCCTCCCTCCCTTCTTTCCTTTCCCTTTCCCTTTCCCTTCGTCATCTATTTATCTTTCCTTCCTTTCTTTCCTTCCTTCTTTTCTTCTCTTCTTTCTTTCCTTCCTTCCTTCCTTTCCCTTCTTTCCTTCCTTCCTTTTTTCCTTCTTTCCTTCTTTCTTTACCTTCTTTCTTTCTTTCTTTCCTTCTTTTCCTTCTTTCTTCTTTCTTCTTCCTCTCTTCTCTCCTCCTTTCCCCTCCTCCCCCCCTTCCTTCCTCTCTCTCCTCACTCTCCCCATTTCTATCTATCTATCTATCTTCTATCTATCTATCTATCTATCTATCTATCTATCTATCTATCTATCTATCTATCTATCTATCTATCCTTCCTTCCCTTTCTTACTTCCTCCCCCTTTCTCTCCTTCTCTCCTTCTCTCCTTCCTTCCTTCCTTCCTTCCTTCCTTCCTTCCTTCCTTCCTTCCTTCCTTCCTTCCCCTTCATCTCTCTCTCTCTCTCTCTTTCTTTCTTTCCTATCTTTCCTTTCTGTCTGTCTGTCTGTCTGTCTTCCTTATCTTTCTCCTTCCTCTTCCCCTCCCTCCCTCCTTTCTTTCCTT